AAATTCAAAATGGTGGATCCAATATGGCCGACATGTCTATTGAAAAGTTATTTGATTTTCATGAAACTTGGTATTTATGAAACTGGCATAATGTATTCGTTATATTTGTAACACTACAACAAAAAAACTATTTGTGTTCTCCAAATATAATGATTATTTTTTTAGATATAGCAGTTGAAAGTGGATCATTTTTCTCGTTCCCTTAATTTTCACATTTTGCTGCGTACCGGTGGTGATACAAGCAACAAATGTAATCTTATTTAATAATATATTCCTCATTGCTAATTTTTTGTATTAAATATATGTTATTAACAAAATTTTAATTCACTAAATATCACATAATCTTAAAATAAAAATTATATATATATATATAAAATCAAACTTATTCTTTATACCTACAGTGGAAAATTATTCTCGATAACATATATTTAATACGGAAAATAAGCCATAAGGAATATATAATTAAATAAAATTACAGTTGCAAATTTTGTTACCACACAATGCAGATACGCAGCAAAATATAAAAATTCAAGAAACGAGAAAAATGATCAACTTTGAGGTGCTATATCTCAGAAAATTAATAATAAATCCAAAATAATAAATACGCTACGACAGTTTACCCATTCCGCGTTCTTCAAAAATAGAATTTTGTCCCAGTTTTCCCCAAAACGAACCACTGTGGCCGACGTATCACGTCTGTAATACAATGTCGCCAAGATTAGAAGTGACCGTGTTGACAAAGGTATTACCTGAAGGATTTTCTCGCATCACAGACACAACGTCCGAACCCTCCCTGTACGACCACCAGCCAGCGTGCCGCGACTCGTACATCACGTGTTGGCCATCCGTTAAGGGCTGAACGAAGAACGATTTCCGGTCGGTCAGCATCAGAACGTACATCCCCTCGTCGCAGAGGGTGACGACCACCACGGACCGCGTGTCACCGCCTTCCAAGCTCCCTCGTCGAAGATTGCACCCCAATTTTCCGTCGTTCGTGGTTCGAGCGTGGCTGGAGTGCACCCAATCCACGGTGAAGTCCGACGAGAGCGTCAAACGATCGTTCGCTGTCGTCTTCAGCGTCCAATTGCTGATCTCGATGAACAACGATTCCTCGAGGTCCGCGTCGCCCTCACCGGGGATCGAACGCCTGTCACGCGTGTTTACGCTCGGGATTATGCGAGGGTAGACGATCTCGTACTCCTGCAGACTCTGCAGGAAGTCGCTCACCCGCGATTTAGTCGCGATAGTCCCGAGCAACCACATGGTTAGCAGAAAACTGGGGAGCTTGGATCGAGTCATGGTATATTTGATTTAATGAGATTTTGATGGAGTCATTGTCGATCATCCGCTGCGTGGTTCAAGGTTGCGCATCGTTGGTCAAGGTTTCGGAGTATTGATCTTTGGTTGGTTGAGCGATACTGATTCAGACGGTGGCCTGTTTTATTAGTTCGTGAAAGTTCATTTTGTGTCGGTTTTTCTTGTAGTTTTTGGTGAAGAATATGTGATTCTGTTGTAGAGAGACGGAGATTTAGATATTTTGGGAAGTTTGAAGAAGGTTGGTCTAGTTTGTTGAGACATTCGTGTGTAGATTTAATTATTTGTTGCTGAAGAATTGATTTCTATATTCAGAACGTATGAATAGACACGTATGGATATTTGGAGAAAGTTTGAAATTGAAGTGTTTTATAGTTTTCCTTAAAATAAATTAGTAATAATTTTGTGCGATTTTTTAGGCACCTATTGAATAGAAATCTTGGAGGAGATTTTATAATAGTATGGATGATGAAATAAATAAATTACGTAACGTCTTGAAATATGTGTAAATATGTATGTATGTAATACAAAATAAAAAAGATCTTTATGGATTTAAAGAAATTAGAATACGGAAGAATAGCTAAACATTGACGCTCTAAATTAGAATACCTCATTAAGGGTGCACTCAAGTACAAATTTATAAAAAGAGAGATATCGTTAGGAATTAAACAAAGAAAAACTGCAAAGAAGAAACAATGAGTCGTACAATAATGATTTATTATTTAACAGTACATATGGGTCATTCCACGCCAAATCAAACGGTTTAACAAATTCAAAATGGCGGATCCAATATGGCAGACATGTACATTAGATTTTCATAAAACTTTGTATTTTTGAGTTCTTTGGGCAACAAATTACGAATCCAATATCAGAATTGCAAAATTCAAAATGGCAGATCCAATATGGCCGACATGTATATTCAAAAGTTATTAGATTTTCATGAAAATTGGTATTTATGACATAGTTAAGCCGCAAACATTGAATGTGATATCAGAATTGCAAAATTCAAAATGGCGGATCCAATATGGCCGACATGTGCTGTAGATTTTCTTGAAACTTGGTCTTTTTGAGTTATTTGAGCCACATATTACGAATCTGGTATCAGAATTGCAACATTCAAAATGGTGGATTCAATATGGCCAACATGTACATTGAAAAGTTATTTGATTTTCATGAAACTTGGTATTTTTGAGTTATTTGAACCGCAAACTTTCAATCTTTTATCAGAATTCCAAAATTCCAAATGGCGGATCCAATATGGCCGACATGTGCTATAGATTTTCATAAAACTTTGTATTTTTGAGTTCTTTGGGCAACAAATTACGAATCCAATATCAGAATTGCAACATTCAAAATGGTGGATCCAATATGGCCGACATGTATATTGGAAAGTCATGAGATTTGCAATCATCAAAATTCAATTTTCTTTTTTTCAAAATTATCGGTTCTAGATACCCTTTACAGAAAGAAATACAAAAAAAATATTTGAAGTGTTTCTAATCGAGATTATTAAATTTTAAGTATTCATTCTTTTTTAAAACTGTGTGTACCCTTCGATTTTCTTGAAGATTTTTTATTATAAATTTCTATCCATCTTGCAACTTTTAAGCCCGGTCCGGTAGTGGGCCTTCTATAATTACTACTTCCTTTTTTATTTTTAAAAATTAAAAAAATTCTTTTCTTGCTAAAAATGATTATGATTATCAATACCGATTTTTGCCACTGTATACTTTTTTTTAACTTATTATAAATTGATTTCGATATTTTCTTTTGTTCTGAGTAGGGATTTAAAAGCAGTAAGTAAAAGTTAATTCTATTTGCGAGCAATTATAACAAACGTTTCTATTTATTTTCGTGTCCTTTTAAAAATTGCTTCAAAATTATATTATAAATCCTTTTTTTGTTGTAAAGTATCTTTTACTTATTTAAATATTCTTGTCTTTACGAATTTCTATCCAATTTAAAAAGAGTTGTACATGTTAATAACTTCCTCACGTGGTGGCACTGCTGATTGTTTCTTCATACCGGTAGTCGGTACCGATTTGCGTGTGGAATGCCTCATATATTCAAAAGAAAAACAATATTTTCCGTTATCATTTTATTATTGACACTTTTAGAAAACCGTCCAGGTAACCTACACGACGAAAATTAAATATCCAAATTCTAAATTAGACAGCGTTGGTTAATAATTACATTTTATATTTAACATTCTCCACTAAGAAAAACTAAGAAATTCGTTTTTTCCTTCTAAATTTATTTAACAGATAATTTTTTCACCTCAAGAGGTATTCTCAGAATATTAACGCTTTGGGCTCGAGTGGCGCCTCTAGGGCGACACATGTAAATTAATAGTGATTTTTTGAACGTACAATTTCAAATTCACTTACATCAGAATACAGCTAATTATTAATTGAAATAATAATACTATTAATTACTAACAAAATTGTAATAATAATGAGTCGTGAGTGTTCATAGATGTTTCTTTTCGGAATAGAGTTTTCAGTTTTACAGAAATTTATTATAAAAATGGACTCGATTTGATTCTATAGAAAAATGCCTCGAGCGCAAAGAGTTAAAAATAAAAACGACACCGTTTGAAGTAGTTTGGCGATTCGGCGGAATAGTAATTTAATCGCGGACATTGCAGTGAGTAAAAAGTGGAGCGACTGATAAGAGCACTCGCGACAATCAGTACACTCCGTACGCGTTGCCAAATGAATATCACATATAACGCGCCGGGAATACTAGTTTTACAGCAGAACAAGAACCAACACACCGAGAATAAAAGATTCACCTTAGGCAAACCAACTTTTGCACCCTGACTTCATTATATCGACGCTAGGTTAACGTATGACGGTCATTTTTACTCATTCACAAATTTCGCAAGGTTTTACAGAAACTGTTTAGGTACATTTTTAACCGATTTCGGAAAAAGGACGAAGTTCCTCAATTCGACATATATACAGGATGTTAAACAATTTTAGTGTAGGATTTTGATTTATACCTTTTCCAAATTGCAAGGTCCAATATCTACACGTTAGGTATAATAAAGTCAGGATAAATGGTTTAAGGGAAAATAAATATACAGAGTGTCCCAAAAATGTTGGAGGTCCTTGAAAAGGGTGGTTCAGGAGGTGATTTGAAACAACTTTTTCCTCAGCGAAAATATTGTCCGAGGCTTCGTTTAGGAGATATTAACAGAAAACCTCGGACCAATCAGAGCGCGAGGATGACAGCGGAGGGCGGTCGCCTAGGGCGTAGCCACGTCTATTGCGTAGCCCACGCCTACCGCGCCGTTCAACCGGCATCCTCGCGCTCTGATTGGTTGACGTTTTCCGTTAATATCTCCTTAACGAAGCGTCGGACAACATTTTCGCTAAGGAAAAAGTTGTTTTAAATTACCTCTACTCTGTATATACAGGGTGTCCCAAAAATTTTGTAACACCTTGAAAGAGGTGGTTCGGAAGGTGATTTGAACAAACTTTTTCCTTAGCGAAAATGTTGTCCGAGGCTCCGTTATTAGAAGATATTAAGAGAAAGCGTCGACCAATCAGAACGCGAGTATGCCAATAGAGCGCCCGCTGATTGTCAGTGTTTTCTGTTAATATCTCCTCAACGAAGCCTCGGATAACATTTTCGCTAAGGGAAAAGTTGTTTCAAATCATCTCCCCGACCACCCATTTCAAGGTGTTACCGAATTTTTGGGACACCCTGTATATACACAGTGAAGGTGATTTGAAACAACTTTTTCCTTAGCGAAAATGTTGTCCGACGCTTCGTTAAGGAGATATTAACGGAAAACGTCGACCAATCAGAGCGCGAGGATGCCGTTGGAGCGGCAGCATATCAGAATTGCAAAATTCAAATGGCGGATCTAATATGACCGACATATATATTAAAAAATTATTAGATTTTCATGAAGCTCGGTATTTATAACTTATTTGAGCCGCGAACTTTGAATCTGACATCAGAATTTCAAAATTCAAAATGGCGGATCCAATATGGCCGATGTGTATATATTGAAAAAGTTATTACCAAAAAGTTAAAACCAATCAGCGGCTGCTCCAACGGCATCCTCGCGCTCTCATTGGTCGACGCTTTCGCTTAATATCTCCTCAACCAAGCCTCGGACAACATTTGCCCTAATGGAAAAGTTGTTTCAAGTCACCTCCCGAACTACCCATTTTAAAGTGTTACAAAATTTTTGGGATACCCTGTATATATATATTTATATATTTATTTTCCCTTAAATCATTTATCCTGAGTTTATTATAGCTAGCATGTAGATATTGGACCTTGCAATTTGAAAAAGGTATACATCAAAATCGTACACTAAAATTGTTTTACAACATTAGCTCAAGATTTGGATTCTCGCAGGAAAGAATTAGGAAAAGAAATGTAAACATCGTAAACAATCTACCAGAGGAAGCATTCAGAATTGTTTGGAAATACAAAGATTTAATTTATGTAAGAGACCTAATTCATGAAACACTAGTATACTGGAAATGATTTTTTAATATTAACCAACAACATCCAAATATCCATGCTGATATCCATATGAAGAGCATTTATCCAAATTCATTTTTGTTCTCTTAATTAATTTTACTAAATCGATTTCATTTAATGAACCCTTACTAATAGAATCTTCACTAAATAAAAATCTGCTAAGAAATCTCTGTAAACTTAATTTTAACCAATAACAGCTTCTGAACTATTTTCATTTCCAAACTATTTTCTCACCACTCACAATCACTAGTTCACTTTGGCACTGTGCAAATATACAAAACTATCTCTCTACGAAAATGTCACGTCCAACAGGATTTTAATATACTTGTCTTCTCGAAGACAACGTTCGACTCCGAAGTGAACAATGCGTCGGGATTCATAAGATTACGTTCTGCGCGCACGCGATCCTCCGAATTAGCGTTCAATTAAAGCGTACACAACGCGTCGGTAGACCGCGGTACAACTGGCAGCCACATGGACGGGAAGGAAGGAGGCTAGCAAACGAAGCGCGCTAACGCACCAGCGAATAGTGCGTAAGAACGCGATGCCTGGAAAAAGCACCACCGTATCCCGCCCACTGGTGTTCTAATAATGGCAGCTTTATGTACAATCACCAAAAAACGAGAATGCCGAGCGTACGCATTGTCCGTCCGTCTATGTTACTTACCGAGGGCCACCCCGAAGGATTACGTCTTCTGGAACTAGTGAGGATAGGCTGAACCTGGAAAACTTATTGTATTTTTAACCCTTTGCGCTCGAGGCATTTTTATATAGAATCAAATCGAGTCCACTTTTATAATAAATTTCTGTGAAACCAAAAACTCTGATTCGAAAAGAGAGATCTAAAAACATTCACGACTCAATGTATATTATTTCAATTAATAATTAGCTGTATTTTGATACAAGTAAAATTGAATCATTTTTAAATTACATATGTCGCCCTGGAGACGCCACTCGAGCGCAAAGGGTTAACACGTTGGTCGCCACGTCACCCATATACGGGATGAGGCAGTGAATTGTTGAGTCAAACTATTGTGGATATAAAAAAAATCTTATAGGAAAAGTTAGAAGAGGACTTAAGAATTTTATTCTCTTCGACCAACGGTCGAACTCGAGTTTAGGCGCGGGTGCTTATACAGGGTGCCTCAAAAATGATGGAGTTCTTAGAAACAAGTGGTTCGATTACTTCCGATTGATATGCATTTAATCGATAACATAGATACCAATTATTTAATTATCTAAAATTCTACAGGGTGTCCCAAAAAAGATTGGAGGTCCTTGAAAAGGATGGTCCGGTAGATGATTTGAAACAATTTTTTCCTTAGCGAAAATGTTGTCCGAGGCTTGGTTAAGGAGGTATTAACAAAAAACCCCGAACCAATCAGAGCGCGAGGATGGCAGTGGAGCGCCCGCGGTAGGCGTGGACTACGCGGTACACGAGCGCTCTGATTGGTCCGGGGTTTTCCGTTAATAACGCCTTAACGAAACCTCGGACAACATTTTCGCTCAGGAAAAAGTTGTTTCAAATCACCTCTACTCTGTATATACAGGATGTTCCAAAAATGTTGTAACACCTTGAAAGAGTTGGTCCGGAAGGTGATTTGAAACAACTTTTTCCTTAGCGAAAATGTTCTCCGAGGCTTCGTTGAAGAGATATAAACGGAAAATCCCGGACCAATCAGAGAGCGAGGATGTCGGATTACCGCTCGCGGTAGGCGTGGGCTTCGCGCTAGGCGACCGCCCTCCGCCTGTATACTCGCGCTCTGATTGGTCAGTGTTTTTCGTTAATATCTCCTTAACGAAGCTTTGGACAATATTTTCGCTAAAGAAAAAGTTGTTTCAAATCACCTACCGAACCACCCGTTTCAAGGTGTTACAACATTTTTGGGACACCCTGTATATTGATTTTGCTGTTTTATATCTCAGATCTAATTTGTCCCTTCCATCTAAATAATCCGTTTCAGGTGAAAATTTTACGGCAATTTTTGGCAAACTTTTCGATTCTGACATTAGTTTATATATTTTATTTTCTATTTTTTTATTTAATTTTGTTTTTCTGGCACGGCGGGCGGAGTTTTAACATTCTTCTTATATTACGTATCATTTAGCATGTTCGTGTATGAAATTTGATTAATTAGAAAACAAAGAAAAACATACCTTTACCAGGAAGGATTTGAACCCTGGTTAGCGTCGTATAAATCTGGTACACTACCATTGCGCCACCACTACAATTAAAAATTCCTGCGACTAAACTCGTATGTCAAGGTAATAATAAAACGTTAATTACAAATATCTCAAAAATTATTAACTGTCTGCCACTATAATTATATATATTCGTAAACAGAGGAACGAGATCTATAAGTGTATAAAGTTTCCATAAAATTATTGAGTCCAAGGCCTTGCACTCTTCTTGTAAGCTAATTTTTTACGAGAAACTGACAACAGATACGCGTTTGCTAACGCGACAATCGTCCAGAGGAATCTTCCACAAATTAAGGAATACGGTATTGTCGGTACGGAGAAGTCCAATTGTTAATTGAATCGAAGCTTTCTCGAGTTCTGGGAACTCGATAACTTCCAGATTTCCAGGATGCTACTCGACGGAAAGGTCGACTTTAAAATGAATGCTTCTATTTAGGTTCAGTAGCGGTTAATTGGTCGCAGCTGTACGAGCACTTCTAGAAAAAAACATTGTGACTACGTAAATTTAAATACCTGGTTTTATCCAGATTAACATATAACATAATTAATTTCTATCGTTTGAGATATTTGATATTACTGTTACCACTTTCACTTTTAATATACGAAGAAAAAATTAAATTCGATAAAACTGTAATAATGATTTCATGCTACTTCTTCAATTTAAAAGAATGAATGGTAAATGTAAAATATTTGTTACAGAAATAGAAGATATACTTTACTATTTATATTTCATGCTCATTTTTGTTTAAAAGAATGAATGATAAATATAAAATATTGTAGTAAATTTCTTTGACAACTGACAGGATTAAAACACAATGTTTGTTGGAACAAGAATATTTAATGAGATAGAATAAGATAAGATAAGATATATATATTATAATTTGCGAACTTATTTTTCTATGAAATGCTATAAAATAGGATTTTTAATGACTGTAAAAATGTTTTCCCTGGATTTAAAATACTGTCATAAAAAAAGTGAACGTATAAAGAAGAATATTATTATATAAAATATAATATTAATTTAATATCGTTAAAGTAATTGTGAACAGAACGTTAATTGATCGGCGTACTTCCCATAGGGTGGCACAAATAAAATTGCAGTAAATTAAATAAGGATAAATAGGTAAACATATTTATTTGTAGTTTATTGACTCGATTTTCAAACAAGAAACTGTAACTATGTACAACGACGGTGTCAAAATTCATCTTTTCACAAAATTAAATTAGTATTTTCATCTGTAACGTTACGTAATAAATATTAGCTTAGTGTATATGAAATGTCGTTTATACAAATGAAACTTTAATTACTAGTATTTTTCAGTAGTATTTTTTAACCATCGAATATTTAATTCCAATAAACTTTCACGCAATTTTCACACATTCTTCTTTACGATTAAGTGAATATTCTAATTGAGAAACTTCTAAGTGAATATTCTAAATTCTTAAAAATATAGCGCCAGTTTTTAGTAAAGTTATGGTAAAGTTATGGCAAATTTTTTTGATCTAACGCTTAACATCGTTTAATCGTTACTTTTGAAGTGAATCGTCTTTTAATTAATTTAAATGCATTTCCTTTATTTATTTATTTACAATACGAGTTTGCTTTAATTGTACATTCAGATGGAGGAGGAGGAGAATGATGATGCATAAGTTCCTGGAATGACATCCGAACAGTCATTATCTTCTTTGGGTGAAGCAGTAGATTTTGCAAATGCTTTGTTCTGTATTTTTTATGTAATTATAGTAACAATCGTTTACGAAATAAATCTTGCTTGTTTCTCCGAAGTAGAGAGGTGTCTATTTCATTTGTTTCAAATTTTATGCTTCGTCTGATTAATTTCTCAGTTTCTTTGCTCGTTCTATTTAAGTGACAAGCAATTACTCTTACAATAATTAAAACGCTATTCTTGATGTTTGTTTTAGATTCTTTGCAATAATATTTCTCCGAACATCATTGTGAATGGAATTTTTTTCCTTAATTTATATTCTAAGGACAAATCACTAGTTTTACTCTTGCAAGCTTTGGACTGTTTTGATATACAGGGTGCCCCAAAAATGTTGGAGTTCCTTGAAGAAGGTGGTTTGGAATGTGATTTAAAACAACTTTTTCCTTAGCGAAAATGACGTCCGAGGCTTCGTTACGGAGATATTAACAGAGAACCCCGGACCAATCAGAGCGCGCGTGTACCGCAGAGGGCGGTCGCCTAGCGCGTAGTCCACGCCTACCGCGACCTCTGATTAGTCCGGGGTTTTCTCTTAATATCTCCTTAACGAAGCTTCGGACAACATTTTCGCTAAGGAAAAAGTTGTTTCAAATCACGATTCACAGATCCTCGTATTATTTAGTATCGTTTTAGAACTAACTAACATATTATAATGATATTGGACTTACATGAATTGGTTGAAATCGAGAAATGAATATTTGCGAGAAAATCAATATTTTATTTCAAAGACCGCCAACATTTTTGGGACACTCTGTATAATAACCTTCTCCTAATGCTATATTTATATCTTCATATAAACAATAGCCAATGGAGCAAATTTAACTACATATCGTACAACAAATTCATCGTATCACAAATTCACACATTGTATATTCACACTTCATATGCACAAACCTAACAGAATACAATAAATTCAAATTCAACGTGATGTTAGAATAAGAAATATGAACGATCGCGCGATATTTTTTCTAGTTAACGTGGTTCAGCGTTTAATGGCGATCTGAAGTTTATTTACATAGTGGAAAGGAGTGGAATTTCATTCGCAGTGTCACGATGGATACATGATGACGGTCAATGTAATTTGTAATATCAGAGCTAGACAGAGATCGATTCCTTTCATCAATAAGTTACTGGCGGCGCCGGTACCGACGTTGCAAAACGATTGCTCGCAACAAGCGGTGCAAGCGTACAGCTTCGTACGTTCGCCGATTATTATGCATCCGGGGTCGCATTTGCTGGTGCAATTTCTTTCCATGTACCAAGTTTGCGGGCTGGAGGTTGAATTTTCCGTGCTAGTCGTGTAGGAAAATCGTTTTACCTAGAAGGTGAACAGGAACTAAAGTTTTAATTAAACGTTACAATTTCGCAGCGTATTTCCTTTTCTGTTTTTTTTGTCAAATTAACGTCGCTTCGGTAGCTTGAATATGTGTACTAGACTGTTAAGAACGAGAAGTGCGAAGTGGTTAAATCTCGTTAAGTAGTTTTAAGTTTATTTAACGAGTAAGAGGACTTGGGATATTTGTTTGGTACTGTTGAACATTTAAGATAGGTTTCATTTGGGCTTCAATATGGAATTCCAGATATTTAGGACAGGCTAAGAAAACATATTTCAGGGTTGTTATGGCGTTATAGTGTTTTGTGGAATCTTGGTATACTTGTAAGAATCTAATTATTAGGTGATAGTCATATACAGGGTCTCCCAAAAATGTTGGAGGTCCTTAAAAGAGGTTCAGGAGGTGATTTGAAACAACTTTTTCCTTAGCGAAAATGTTGTCCGAGCCTTCGTTACGGAGATATTAACGAAAAACACTGACCAATCAAAGCGCGAGTATACAGGCGGAGGGCGGTCGCCTAGCGCGCAGCCCACGCCTACCACGGGCGCTCCGCCGATGTACTCGCGCTCTGATTGGTCCGGGGTTTTTTATTAATATCTCCTTAACGAAGCCTCGGATGGCATTTTCGCTAAGGAAAAAGTTATTTCAAATCACCTTCCGGACCACCCCTTTCAAGGTGTTACAACATTTTTCGGACACCCTGTATATACAGAGTAGAGGTGATTTGGAACAACTTTTTCCTTAGCGAAAATGTTGTCTGAGGCTTCGTTGAGGAGATATTAACGGAAAACCTCGGACCAATCAGAGCGCGAGTATGCCAATAGAGCGCCCGCTGATTGGTCAGTGTTTTCTGTTCATATCTTCATAACGAAGCCTCGTACAACATTTTCGCTAAGGAAAAAGTTGTTTCAAATCACCCCCTGAACCCCTTTCAAGGAACACCAAGATTTTTGGGACTGTATAATTTGATTGTTTTAATAGTTTTTTTATTCAGAAATATAGCACTATTCTTATACAATTTGACTTTGTTGGGATTTCAAAACCACTGTGCACCAATAGCCCCTACCCTATGTGCCCTAACCTGCCCCCCCCCCCCTGTTACGCCACTGAACTTGCGTTGAAACTATAAAATATTTGTATTATCGTGATTGTTGACTAGCGTTACGAAATAAAATTTTCTATTAATTTGTTAGAATTAGATTGTCATTTAATTAATATAAAAGTGAATTATTAAAGTATAGAATTCATGCATAATTTCGATTCAGTAAAATGGGACTTAGACTACTATCGAAATAAACAGTTCAAATGTTGAGTAAATTAGTTTTAATTTATTTAATTAATTGAGATATTAAGTGTGGTCTACTTAAAATAGAAACATAATTTGAGTAACAGTATCAAATCACTGGACAATTTCGATTTTGTAAAAATGAACTAAAATCATTGCCCAAATAAACAGTTTAAATATACATAATTTTAATTCACTTAATTAATAAATATATTAAAAGTAATGTACTTAAAATAAAAACGTAATTTAGGTAACAGTATCAAATCACAGACCATTCCCGATTTTCTAATAATTGACTTACTCTGCTATCGAAACGAACAGCTCGAATATTTAATAAATTAATTTTAATTTATACAATTCGTCACAAGTCTCCACGTGGTTCATGCAGTGAAGAAGTGTTCGACCCGTAGTTATCAATCGTCATTACCATGCAAGTTCTTTTGTCACCAGTGCATTTGTGCTTGAAAACGGTGTAATTTCCGGTGAGATTGGAACATCTCTCTCCATCTTCCATCGTGTCGCATTGATAACACCATAAATCGTTTACTCGTTCCGAGGCTGCGTTTGTTCGATGTTCCGTGGATAATAGTTGTCCTAATGATCCCATGAAAGCAAACGATGAATAGTAGTTGGCATTGGTCGGTACTGATATACATTGAATCATAATAATAGAAAATTATTATCCAACGTTATTTCCAGCATTTCGTTCGTCTTTATTGAAATATTATTTTTTTAATATACGATGAATAGTAGCTGTCATTGGTCAGTATTGAAATTGAAGAAATAGTACATGCATTTTAATAATGGGAAATTGTTGGCTAATGACGTCATTTTATCCGTTACGTAATTTTTTTAATATAGAGGAGAGAGTATAAAAATTGTATCATTTGTTAATGATACAACTTGACGAATATTTGGATGCAATATGTATATTTTAACACTGAATTGTCTCATTCTAATAAATTAGGGTCTCTTCAAGGTAAATATATCTTTTAAGGTAGGACCAAAAATACTCGACGCTATCAATTAAAATCTTAAATAAATAAAATGTGACAGTACTAGTATTACCAACACTACTGACTAGTGAAATGTAAATTAATAATAAAAATTGGCAAACAATTATTACATTAATAGGTAATATTTCATACATGTTTATGTTATTGTCGCATGTAAATTGCTTAACATTTTTTGTTCTTACAGTTAAAAAGAATCTGAATGTGTGAATTAAAAAAATTTCAATCCTTTTGAATTGACCACCGAGAATGAATTAATTGTTATTTAGGAATATTTGTTTACTAGAATTTTACATTTTGATCATTCTTTTTTTAGGATATCCTGAGACTGTCAGCTACTGAAATACAGGGTGTCCCAACAATGTTTCGAACTATCTTTCGAACTTTCAAAGGGTATAGTTTCATCTAAATGTACTCTGTGCCACTATACATAGACGAAACTTTACTTTTGATATCTCAGGATATCCTACGTAGTTTTTCGCTTCGAAACACTGTTTCTAATGTTTCTAATACGAAATTTTATGTTAGGCCAACGTTCCCATGCTTTAAAATCAGGACAGGTCAAGTTTTGTTAACAAAATTTAAAACATAAATTTAAAAAATGGACAAAGTATATTGAAAAATAATATTTTATATAGAAAGCGAAATTTCAAGGAAAGGAAATATTTTTATTAAAATAAAAACATAAATTAAGTAACAGTAACACATCGCTAACCAATGTCGATTTTCTAAAAATAGACTTGCATCTCTATCGAAATAAACAGCTCAAATGTTAAATAAATTTGAGTGAACAAATTTTTAATAATTATAAAATTAATTTTAATTTATTCAACTGAAATTAGACAGAGATATTCGCACTACTTCAACAGCTGATTGTAGAGGGTTGATTGAACGTATACGATATAAACGTTTTCGAAAAATGAGAAATTCAATAATTAATAAACAATGAATAGTAGTCAGCGAATTAAATATCCATTCAGTGAATACAAAACATTAAATTCCAATATTACCAAATGGTTTAACATACTATATACATAATATACAGGGTGTCCCATAAATATTCATAGGAACACATGTGTTTAAATTAAATAATAGGTTTGATATACTGGAATAATTTTGTTTACAAATATATACATGTATACAATATACAGGGTGTCCCAAAAATGTTGGAGATGTTAGAAACGAGTGGTTCGATTACATCCGATTGATTAACATTTAATCGACAACATAGGTACCAAGTATTTAATTATCCACAATTCTACAGGCTGTCCGCAAAAAAGTTGGAGGTCCTTGAAAGAGAAGGTCATTTTCAGCTTTCTTCGGGCAGGAAGAGAAATATCATTTTCTTGGATTTTGATTTTCGAAATTCCAAAAATATTGAAAATCCTTGAAATTGAGGTTATTTTCTGCTTTCGTCCGGTAGAAAGAGAAATATTATTTTCTTGAAATTTAATTTTTGAAATTCCAAAAATGTTGAAAGTAATTTCTGGGACACCCTGTATACAGACAATCCCATAAATACCGATAGGAAGACATGTGTTTAAATTAAACAATAGGTTTGACATACTGGAATAATTTTGTTTACAAATATATACATGTATACAATATACAGAGTGTTCCAAAAATGTTGGAGGTCTTAGAAACGAGTGGTTCGATTACTTCCGATTAATTAACATTTAATCGACAACATAGGTACCAATTATTTAATTATCTACAATTCTACAGGGTGTCCCAAAAAAGGTTGGAGGTCCTTGAAAGGGATGGTTC